TAGAAACGGGCGAAATACTGATAACACCTGAAGTTTGAAATATAGAGAGAAGTTACTGGGAATACACAGGTCAAGCAGCATTTGTGGAGAGAGAAACAGAATTAACCTTTAAAACTCGACTATAACTCTAGATATTCTTACTTTATTAGTTATCTTCCATTTTAAAAAAGGCCCCACCCTCAGTCCTTTCCTTGCCATGGGATGTTTACGTTTTATTGCCCATCCTGAACTGTCCTAGAGAAGATGGCAGTGAGCTATCATCTTGAATTTAAACAAGCAGCTTACAAGACACGAGAAAACAAAACAAACAATTAACAGTATTGTGGGTCTGGAGTCACATATAGGTTAGACCAGCTAAGGGCAGAATTCCTTCCATGGTTTTATTGAAACAGTTGGGATTTAAACACAGAATTGTTACAATACTCTCAACGTAGCCATTCTTCATCCATCATATCCACACTAGTTTCCCAAATGAGGAATTCATCTAGTGTCATTCCTCTGTCTTTGGCCTGTAACTTTACATTCTTCCTTTGCAGATGACATTTAGAATGCTTCCAATGAATTTTCCTCCATACACAAAGGCAAAACATCGCAGACCTTAAGCATTTGCTGTACGAGAAACTCTCTCATGCTGGTCTTGGTTCTTTTGCCAAATTACTTTAAACTCATGCTCTCATGTTTTCAATCTAACGAGCAGCTTCAACCTTTGTCCAGCCCCGTGATTTTAAGTTCACCAAAGTTATCTTCACCTGCTCTTCTCCAAGGGAAACACAGTCTCAACTTCTGTAATCTACGTTCATAACTGAAGTTTCTCAATGCTGAAATCATTCTCATTAATCTTTTCTGAAATCTCTTAAATGCCTTCAAATCTTTCCTAAATTATTGTGCCTAGGACTGGATGCGATATCTCAACTGTGGCTAAATTAGTTTCTTCCACAAATTCAACACAACTCACTTTTCGCTGTACTCTCTCACCCCATCACTTCATTACGTGATCTCCTAACCTATTCTATCACTTTCAATGATTTCTTTTCGTGATTAACATTATTGTAACTATCTTTATAACTCAGACTTAATGATTTTCAAATTCCCCAACTGTGTTGCTGGGATTTGAACCCTAGTCCTCAAATCATTTCTTTTCAACTGAATAGCACGGGTCAGGCCCTTCGGCCCATGAGATTGCGCCAAACATGACGCCCAATGAAACTAATCCCTTCTGCCTGCCGTTGGTCCATATCCCTCCATTCTTTGCATATTCACGTGCTTATCTGAAAGGCCCTTAAATGCCTGTATCGTATTTGCCTCCACCATCCCTGGCAGTGCATTTCAGATTGCTACCCCACACTGTTTAAAAAAACTTGCACCTCACAACTCCTTTGAACTTTTCCCCCTCTAATTTAAATGCATGTCGCCAAGTATTAGACATTTCAACTCTAGGAAAACGATTCTAACCGTCAACACTATCCATGGATCTCAATTTTATCGTCTATTAAGTCTCCCGTCAGCCTACGCCAATCAAGGGAAGAAAACCCTCGTTTTCCTCGCTTCTCCTTATAGCTCATACCCTCTAATCCAGGCAACACCCTGGTAAAGCTCTTCTGCACCCTCTCCAAAGCCTCCACATCCATCCTGTAATGCGGCAACCAGAACAGAATGCAATACTAGTCCATAATTATTTATCTAGTGACATAACCACCACTGTAACCACAAGTAACAAGACAAAAGAATACTCAATGAATGGCAGCACACTCGGAAGCTCAGAGGAAAGGGATCTTGGGGTACTTGTTCACTGATCCTTGAATGCTACACAGCAGGGTTATTAGAATAGTTAGGAAGGCATATGGGACATGCCTGTATCAGTCAGGGCATGGACTGTAAGAGCAGAGAGGCTATGTTGGTAGTTTACAGGACTTAGGTTAGGCGACAGTCGGAATGCTGTGTGCAATTCTGGTCACATGATAGGAAGGATATGACTCTACTGGACGGAGTACAGTGGAGATTCACCAGGATGTTGCCTGGCATGAAGCACCTTAGCTAAGATAACAGGCTGGATAAGCTCATGTTTTCTTTTTTGGGGCAGAGAAGATAGAGGGGGACCTGAAACAGGTGCCTAAGATTTTTGAGGAACATGGTCAGAGTGGATGGAAAGCAGTTGTTCCTCTTAGCTGAAGCATCGATAACAAGTGGGCATAATTTTAAAAGGTAAAAGGCCGGAGATTTAGAGGGAACTTGAGGGAAAAAATGTCTTTTCAATCAGAGTGGAACGGGTCTGCAATGCACTGCATGGGAGGGTTGTTGAGGTAGGCAACCTCACAACCTTTAAAAGGTACTTGGAATGGTTATTAAGTGTCATAACATTCAAGGCTATGTGCCTCGTGTTGGAAAGTGGGACTAATGCAGATTTAGTCTAATTTTGGCTCTAAGCTTGATGGACTTAAGGGCCTCTTCTGTACTGTATTCTATTGTATTGATACTCTGACCTCAAAAGTCCTCACTGCTGTTCAAATATTTATAAAGCTGTCTCTAGGGATGCCAGGATTGGCTTCAACTTGAATGCTGGGGAGGTGGGGTGGGGGGGGCGGCGGTGGCGGGGTGCGGGTGTTGTGGGAGCCAAAACGAATCCAAATTAGTATGCTCCCGAGGACTGTGTTCAGCCTGGTGCTTTTATAACAAATACACTCCTCCACCAAAAGGACAAATACAAAACCATCCTGTCTTTATCATTACTTTAAGCCGTTCTTATTGCAGGGGTTAGGATAATGGTGAAGATAAATCCCACCCCCCACCACCCCAAGAAAGACAGCAGACCAATTTTTGTATGGAGAGAAATTACATTCCTAGTTTTGAAGTTTCTAACTTGGATACATGACCAAGATGAATACCTAGAAGTTCTAAATAAAAATCAAGAGAACGGCAGATGCTGTAAATCAGCTTTAAAAACAAAAGTTGCTGGAAAAGCTCAGCAGGTCTGGCAGCATCTGTGAAGAAAAAAATCAGAGTTAACATTTCGGGTACTGTGACCCTTCCGGATTCTGTGATTTTCCAGCAACTTCTGTTTTTGACTCAGAAGTTCTGATCCATATCAGTATCATAAAACAGAAAAGAAGGGATGAAATCCTTCAGGAGCTAGGAAGGAACTAACCAAACAGAACTTCAAATAGGCACACATGTCCAGATTACTTCGGATGCTTACACATTTATATTTACTGAAATAGGATAAGCTAGTTTAGATGAATTAAGTGGCTGGTCAGATAGTGCAGGAGGCTGGAATGCTAGCAACAGTTCTGGGACCATAGCATCTGTATGAGCTAGACTAATGGCAGGTCAACAGATCTTGAGGACCCACATCCTCTCAGGGTCATTTTTAATTTAACTGGGGAGGATTTAAACCCACTTGGAAAGGGCTAAATATTAAGATGTGGCATTGGAAAAGAAAAGCAAGAGTTTGGAAAGACATAAACAGTGGAGTAAGAAATGGTTATCTTTTAAACAGGGTACTTTGAGAAAGAGGAGAGAAGATTCAGTTCAAAATCATAATGGAACAAGAGAGGGAGAGTTCACCTGTTCTCATTGGTCAAATGATTAAGATCCAGAGGATACAGATCCAAAGTAGAGAATAAAAACTATTTATGCGGTGAATGGTTAGTTGTGGCACATATTGACAGTATGTAATAGTAGCAGATTCAAATCATAGCTTTTAAAAGGGAATTGGATAAACATTTGAGGGAAAAATGCTGCAGGGTTTTGGGAAAAAAAAAGCAGGGTGGGGGACTAGCTGAGTTGTTCTTGCAGGGAGCCAGCACAGACAACTCAGGCTAAAATACTTCCTTTTGTATTGTAACTGTCCTATGACACTACAAGAAGTGTTATGGGATTACAAGCTTGCAGTTGTACAAATTCTAATAGCAGCTTTCGGTGAAAGCACAATGGTCGAAAATAGCAAAGTTGAAAAATGCTTTTAAATCATTGCTGCAGATTAACACAAGGCATAAAGGCATTGTGACAAAACCAGAATTGCTGAGAAATGCTGGCTTCTCTCCCAAGCCCCCAGCTTCACCACAAGAGAGCCAAGCTATCTCAATTTAAAGTGGCTTTGGTGAAGAGCTCAAGTTCAGGAATACTTCAAGTTCTATATTGCGATTTGGAAAAAAGGAACAGCTTAAATCAAAGGAACACAAACAATGAAAAATCATGCAACTGTTTAGAAATAATCTGCAATATTAACTTCAAAATTACTTTGCAACAATGTAGGCTTTCATTCCAATAACTTGAAGGGTCAATTAACATAGTACCTATCTTAGTGCCACCAATAGTTCTGATATCAACAGCATATTGTAAATTACATTATAATAAAAGATCTTCTATTTCATTAACAACATACACAACAGATTTGTATATGCACACAATCACCCAGTGACCAGAAAGAAAATAACAACATCTCAAAGTCAAAAGATAATTCAAGAGTCTTGCATGTAAAAGGTCCCCACCAACCTGCAAAACGAAATGCTACCTTATAGCACTGTTATATTGAAGATTGCAACCTGACAGAATGATGCCCAGATAATAGCTCTTACGACTACTCTCAATGCTCGGGCATCGATAGGGATGCTCTTCCTGAAGGATGCACAATTCTGCTTCACAAACAGCTTCCCATGCACGGTCTCAGACATGGCTGCCACCAACAAACAAAATCCAGAAATCCTTAATAATAAACCTTTGACCAACTTAAATACTGAAGTTTATACTAGATTTGGTCAATTCATTAATGTTTTTGTAAAATTTAATGTGAATAAAAGCAAATACAAATACTTACCCTAGATCCAAGGTGACACAACAGGTTAAATCTAAGCCACCAATTGCTATCCTCGATGTCTCCAGAAAAGGTGCTCCAATCTAATTAGATGCAGATTGTTACAATCATAAATAGCATAATTAAAAGAATTTTTCTAATTAACAGTGCAGTTGCAACGCATATTTTTTAAAAAAAGACAAAAATCATGTTTAGTATTGCAGTTTTTAATACCTGCTTTCTTAAACAAGCCCATAAATAATTATACATGAATCTCTGCTTATTGGAATGTGCAATGCTTTATATATAAATAGAACTTGAATTACTAATTCACAATCAGACACAAAGTTAAAACTAACTGAAGTAAAAGTATGTTTTTTATCCCCCTCCTCCAAAATTCAATGGTTACAGCCATTGCTGCAAGTGGAATGTTTTGTGCAGTACTTCACAAATACTCGCATCACAGAACAGAAGCACTGTAAGGTTCTTTACTTTATATAAAATAAGTAGGTACATAACCAAAGATAATTAAACAAAATGCTTCCGTAATTTAAAAACCAGTATCTCAAAATGTCGACAACCTAAACATTGAGAAAGCATAATATTTATTAAGACAACTGATTACCAATAAATAAAACAAGCATAAATTTAACACATTGGTTATACAACTTGTAAAGAACTTCACAATGTTCTATTTTTCAGCAAGTTGGAGTAGATAATGAAATAAAATGACCTACAATGTGCATAGAAATATCTCATACCACATAACCAGGAAATTCAATTTCTGCTTTTGAATATTGAAAATTCAAGCAAAATCATTCCACTCAGTCTAACGTCCAAGAAATTATCATCACATTTGCAAAGATTCTCTAACTGAGAGAAGTCGTTTCGTTAGCAGGTTTAAAAAGGTCTTGATTAAGCTCATTAAAATTACTCACTACAGTTATTACAGTAGAAGATAGATATTTTCTGCTCGACGAACACTGGTCAACTAAAATATTAACACAACTGAAGATTAAAAGCTAATCTTCCCTTATGCTGCAATGTAAGAAAAAAATGATTTTTTTCTCCCATCCCCCTCCCCACTTATTTAAAAGCCTCAACTGAGCTCATTGAGCAACTGCAGCTAAAAAGGTGGCAATGGTCCAAAACCAGACCAAAAGAAAAGTGTTTTAAGTCCATTTATTTTCAGTAAGCTTTGGTCTTAAGCAAACAAAAAATTCTAAATTAATGAATGTATTTAGCTGTACAAAACAAAAATCATGTGCTTTTATGCAGCCATTTGAAAATCATATGGCAGTACGTGGAAGGCAAGAAACTAGAATAAAATGCTTTCTGTCATTTTGCTGGTGGTGAGGGGAGAGCAAGGAAGGCAGCAGAACACAATCTCATGGTAGCTCAACACTTAAACTGAACGCCTCCTTCATAATCAATTCTCAGGTTGAGGTGCAAAAAATCTTGTTCAGAACGGGAGATTTTATTGGTAGGGAAAATTAAGAATATTTGTTTTTGGGGAGGGGAAACATGACCAAAATGCTAATGAACACATTACCTGGTTGGTGTTTTGACATCAAAAATTGTAGTGAGGTCCACAGCCAATTAACTGCCAAGTTGACTGACATGGAAGTAGAGAGTGAAACATTTACAAGGGAAAGAAAAGGTTGCTTTATTTAAAAACCATGCTGCCAAGACATTCAAGAGGGCAGGCCAATTCTTACAAGCTTGGAGCATTAGGAGTCTTTTAAAATTGTATCAAAACAAAATCAGTGTGAGAGTTGTTAACACAAAGTGCCTAAAGATATACCACCACTAAAAAAGGCTATCCAATTCACCACTGTTGCAACAATTGCCTAAATATGCCACTTGTAAAATAAATGGAACACTCAAAAGTTGTCAGTTTCACACAATGCTTTTTGATTACTCCCACATTTGTGCACCTCAATGTGCACACCAACTTTGAAATTTAAACATAATTACAGTTAAGTGTACAGTTACTAAAAAGTCTGTGGAATGGTCATAAAAGAAACAGCTGTAAATACTATGGTATCTCAATTGAAAATATTGCACAAATATAGGTCTTCCTTTTCACTGATTTAAGACCAACAGCTCTTAATCATACAGTGACGGCTATTGCAACTGGTGTCCCTCAAGTTACATGGGAAAATGTATGAATTTAAAATCTTCTTATTTTGCAAGCAGTGCCACACCAAAGCTTTTAAACTGCTTTGAACAAACAAATGTCCCTTAAATTAAGCACAGTTTCCATTAGTTTGGAAGACCTGCAAGTCAGCTGACAGTACTCAAAAAAATTTGAGAATTCTGAACGCAAAATTTGAATGAATATTTTGAAAAAAGTCATCTCTGATTTTACAAGAACCTTTGCACACCAATGGACCTGCTCATTTCTCAAATGCAGTGTCTAATCTTTTTAAAATAAATGATCAGAGGTGTATCCCAAAACAATCTTTTGAGCACCACGCTAATCTGGCTTGTAACAAGACATCATTTCAAAAGACCTAAGGCCATGAGTTCCATTTGTAATGGAAAATAACTGTGCAAAAAAGCTTAAATTCCTACTTTTGTGCCAGTGTTAAAGTATTTCTTTTTTAAAAAAAAAGGAAAACTCCAGGTCCAACAAGGTTTTTCTTGATTTCACAACTTGATTTTTTTTTCTACTTATTAAAAGAGGCACGATTTTCATGAAAAAGTATCTGCAAACTTTATGAAATGATAGCAACAAATTGCATTTAAACAGTCACTTCACATCACTTGCACATCATAAAGACAGCTCATAGCATCACCTTTCCTCAACGGGCTTGGCAAGTACCTTTTCATGAAGAACACTCCTTCAAACAAGCCACTATATTATTGTAATTCATTTTTTAAAACTGCAAATGCAACTGGTATTTCTGATTAATATATTTAATGTTTATTTACTAATATTCTGAAGCTTCACTGTTCTTTCTCCCTTGCAACTAGTGTCAGCCAGATTAGATGGACTTTAATTGTGCCATTACTTCAGTTGAGATGGTGGAGGTTCATTACAAGCCAACGTAGGTAAATTGTGCTCGATGTTCTGCCAATTTGTCTTAACACGTGTCATTAGAATTTTGATCTCAATATCTTATGGACAAATTGCCAAATACAAGACCAAAAACCTGTTCAGGTTGTAAAATTACAACTGAGTTCAATCTTTGCTTCAAAATTTTGTCAAATAATTTAATTTGTTCGTGGTCCATTTGCAGTGTGTTCTCCTGGTTTTTGCACACAAAGGCAATTTTCTCATGGGACGGTGGTCCACCGGCTTGGCATTTGCGTTTATGTCTCTTAATCAGTATTGACATTGCTTGATGGACAGTGGGAGATATTACTTACTGTATTATGAAGTCAGGTTTCAGCATGCATTTAAGTACCACTACATATTTGAACTGAAGTCAAATGATCCTTCAAAAACAAAGGCAGCAAACAAACATTTCAATCTTCTGCATAAGTTATTTGCTATACCGGCACCTAGAGTTTTCCTAGGACAAAGCCCTGACCAAAAATGTTAGTATCCCACCAAATCATTGTTGAAAACAAAAACCAAGACACAAACCACTAAACACAACATACTGCAGTATAGAAACAGTATCCTTTAAATAGGCCAAATTATGAAATTTAGTATCTGCTCTGTCATGTGCATGCAAATTATAAGTTTTGTGGTAGTGGAACACTTAAGTGACAATAGTACAGCTGTATTCTTCAATCAGATCAACTAACGTGCCAGTCTTTGTAGAGTTTCTTCTAGATAGAGGGATGTTGGAGAAGTTGGCAACTGAGACACCATAAATGTTAACTATTTGAATAAAAATCTACAAGCAGGCACTCATTCTCTCTCTCTCTCTCTCTCTCACACACACAGTACGTTCTTAAGCATAAGTATATTAAGCTTCAGATGTAAAGTTTAAGAATGTCTCAAAAATGATTTTAGAAATGTTCTCCCCTCCCCCAAATAACTTGTCTACCAAAACAAAGTAAGCACCCATTGTTCCTGAGAGTTCTGCTGCATGGGATACTTTTGGAACCACCGATTTATGTGAAAACAATATTCCATGCATCCAAAATAAAACAATTATGAATGGCCATAATAAGATGTCAAATAGAAGATACTGTTCCTTTAACATGCGAGTTATGTCTTACAAAAAGAACTTTTGAAATGCATGCTGCACCATGGTCTTGTGCTATGTGACAAATTAATGGTTATTTCACATGTATTAGCCCATCTTTAAAGGTTCACATGTGGTCAGGGCTTTGTAGGTTACTTTATTTTTTTAATAACAGCATTTAAGTATTACATACAAGTTTTTAAAGAACTGCAGTCATGAGTTATCATCAGTGTTGTACTTCGTACATGATCGCATACAATCAGGTTTGTCCAAATCTCTGACTCTTTGGCTCAAATGGTAGAGATCAGGATTTATTTTTATCCATGGTATCTAGATATAGAAGGCAAAGCCTTCTCAATTGGTCTCATATGAAGAAAGCAATGCAGCATCCACTGGTTCCATACATGAAGGGCAGGTAAAAGATCGCATCAGCCAGTCATCTATACAGTCCAGGTGATAAATATGCATGCACGGAAGAAATCTAATTGGATCACCATAAATGAAGTCCATCATACATATAACACACCTGGAAAGTAAAATGAAGTGCTTAGAAGTACACAAACTAGTTTTTTGGCATACAAAAGCATTACTGTACAACTTTAACAAAGTGCCATTTTAAAGACAATTGGTGAACATTCAGAATACAATTAGAAATGAAATATAATTTCAATATGAAAATTATGTTTAACATTTTGTAGCTGCATCTCAATAAATCAATTTGTGGGGTTCCGTTCCAGAAAAGAAACCATGCCAAGATAGTCATGCAGGGAAAAAAAATGCCCAAAACAAATACAAAAGATTTAGAACAGCTCAGAATCAAGTTAATATTTTGTATGGTGACGTAAGAAAAAGAACAGGGAAAGTTAATGCAGATTTGACCCTGCAAGAATTGAAAAAAGATCAGCATTCAACAGGCTAATCTGAAGCAATGCACTGGTGAATGTTAAGCAGAAAAAGTGCACTACCAGTATTTATCAACAGGGATGCAGAAAAAAAAAAGATGGAGGGTTTGTTCAATTAATTTTAATAATGACTTAAAGCTCATTTTAAAAATGGCTTTGCTCTAAAAATTAGGTTAACTGTAGTGTACTTCTATAGATTGAGATGAAATTTTGCTCAATTTTGGGCTGAGATTAAGTGACTCATTGCTGATCTTCAAAACTCACTCTTTAATTTTCTTTTCCGATCCATCTCTTCCTGGGTCATAGACTCCTTTGGGCAGGTGCTGAATGAGACCTATTCTTTGCGCTATTCTGATCTGTTCTTCTTCAGTAAGTTGAGTAGCCAGCCGGGTTTGACTTGGAGTAGGATGGTAGACAGGAACCTGAGCTTGTTCCTAAGAATAGTTAGGATGAGGAGGAGAAAAAAGACACAGGAATAACATGAATAATAATGCTTAAATGCTTAATACTAAAACTGAATATAAAATAGTGTTTCTATAACCAGGTTATTCAGAATATCACTGGAGCATATTTTTAACATAATAGGACAGAAGCCAACTAGGAATGAAGTTGGCAAGACACACAACACCACATTTCCATTATCCAATCAAGGTAGAATTGCTAGTTACCTCAGATAGTAGTTTAGCACTGAATTAATGAAACTATAGTGTCACAGGCAGCGTTGCGATTTTCAAAGTATTTTGGAAATTAGTGGTTCGTGTGTATCGAAGGGCTAGATAGATAGACAGACAGACAGACAGACAGATGCTTGATCAGTCAGGATTCACAGGTTATGGGAAAAATGCAGGAAACTGGATTGGAAGCATGTTGGATCAGCCATGATCCTACTGAATGGTGGAGCGGGTTCAAGGGGTTGAACAGCCTACTCCTATTCCTGTTTCTTATGGTCTTATAGTATTGTAAATTAGACTTAAAATTGAAAGTGAAGTCATACAGCAAAATATCAAACTAGCCCGAAATAATTAACTGCTCAACTTTAAAAATCATTCATATTAGGATGTCTGACATTGGGTTTCAGTCAACTGTTGATTAAGAACAATCTGAAATTGAAATCAGTGTTGAGTCCAGGAGTGGTTAAGTGTCTAAATTGAAGATGGTGTTCTTCAAGCTTGAATTGAGCTTCACAGGAACTCTACAGCAGGCCAAGGGCAGAAATGCGAATGACAGTGCAACATGCAAATTAAAACAGCACAACTGGAAGCTTGGAGTCACGCTTCCAAACGGAGTGCAGTTATTGTAAAGGAGACTGCATTTTGAGAATAGATGTTTTTCATGTATTCTAAGGTAGTGCAACCAAATCACTTTCACTTGAGTGTTGGGGCCTTGGACAATGAGGCAAGAAGGAAAACTACCGATATTACACCTCCTGCAACTTGTGTCTCCTTCTCAAAATTGTTATGAAGGACAAATGGAGTCAGAAACAATAGAAAGCAAGTGGATAATTGGCAAAGTAAAAGTTATTAATTGGGCCAAAATGCAGAGGAAGATGAATCAGAAGCAACATACGTTGGATGCTGGAAATGTGAAGTAACAAAATCAGCGTTAACTCAGCACAGAAAGCAAAACCAAGAACCCAGAAAGAGAGACTGGATCGTTCAAACTAGTAAGGTGCTCCATGGCTCAGTGGTCAGCACTGCTGCCTCACAGCACTAGGGAACCGGATTTGATTCCAGCCTTGGGTGACTGTCTAAGTGGAGTTTTCATATTCTCCTTGTGTCTACATGGGATTCCCCCATCTGCCCCAGTTTCCTCCCACTGTCCAAAGATGTGCAGGTTAGGTGGATTAGCCATGCTAAATTGCCCATAGTGTCCAGGGTTGTGCAGGCTAACTGGGAAAATGCAGGGTTACACGCATAGGGTAGGTGTCTGCGTGGGATGTTCGTTAGTGGATCACGTGGACTTGATGGGCCGAACGACCTGCTTCCACACTATAGGGATTCTATGAATTTCTATGAAAAATTAAATTTCTGTCTAATCATAAACAAGAATCAAGCTCAGTAGATGGGATGGGCACCATTGGCTGAAACAGATTAAGACTTGATGCAAAGGAGTCCTAACATCTAAGTTGTAAAAAGCAATCCAACACAGCACCCATCCTGATTTCAGAAAAGTCAGGAAATCAAATCTCAGCATTTTATTCGCTGAATGGAGGGATGACACAGAATAGGCAGGATTGAAGTGAAGCTATGTAGTCTGCATGGACAGCGGGTCTAGCAATAAAAACCTAGTTTGAAAGCAATGACTTATGAAATGGACATGTGCTCATTTTTAAGGGCATAGGGAAAGTAGCAGTGTTTATATGAAGATGAAATCATGCCATTATATTCTATGAACTTAACACATCATAGAATCAAGTTCATGTAACTTTGAGCTTGAACTCTAATTTCGGCTAAAATGCAGTCACTGGTACAGCAGAGGAGTGCAGAGAAGAACAGTAAAAGTTGGCAATGGATAGAATTGCCAAGGAAAAAACCAAGGATATGCACAGGGAGCAGGAGCTCTTTTACCAATGAAAGTGTTAAGTTATGGCTGCAGATATTAAAACATCAATACTATTAATAGGGACCATAGATGTGACTTGTGTAAATATAATCCAAACCAATGACAAAACAGATAAAGAACTCTTTGCAGAAAATAAATGTTAATCCATAACTCTCCGAGTCAGGATTCATCTAATTGATCTTCCTAAAAAGGTTTATTTAAATTTCCAATTTAACAATGGGATAATTTCATACAAGTACAAACAATGCATTAGTCCCGCTACTTTACCGTTAAAAAAACACGATCATTTTTAAGTCACCACTGTCAAATTAGACAGTTATTCGTTTATAGTTTATAGATAAATTTTGTGCAATTTTGGGATGCATGGTATTATGCGATTGGCAATAAACTTCAGCGTCTGGTCTGTAATGATTCCCAAAAACTGAAGAAAAAAAATCTGACTGGTTAAGTATTCTCTAAATCTTTAATATGCAGTCTTACACTATGCATGCGATGTGGCACAAGTCAGAAAAACGCAAAATCACATTTTAAAAAGTGCATGGTTTGTTTACTGAATATTCTGCATTGTTCATAGAAAGTTTGTTATGAAAAAGTGGACAGTTTTTACACATTAATAATGAACTAGCCCCCCTGGAATGACCTTTGCAATTTAACGTAACACAATGCACTCTGCAGTACCAGACTGACAACTGTAGAATTAACTGCAGTAATAACAAAAATAAACACTTTCTGATAAGATACTGTGAGGTCTATTGTTATGGTTAGTAAGGTACAGCCAAACTCACCAGAAACTTAACTGCAAAAATTGTTGAAGTAAAGGCCATTCTATTTTAGTTGGAAAAGGAATTGTCCATGCATACTTTAGATTTTAGCTGGCATTGATCATAGTGACATTTTTTAAGTAGTGACAAGACAACGTGCAAACATACGTGCACAGTTAACAGGAGTTTATTTAACACTCAATCAAAAACACATTAATCTTGGCAATTGCCATGATTTTGGATTTTTCTTCTATTCTGAACTGCAGATTTGAGGCCAGCACTTGATGTCACAGACAGTCTTAACATTATTCTGACTGTTTATGACCACAAAACAATGAGATTCCGTCACTGGTAACCACAGATGTCAGAAGTTTTCTCTCCAAATCTTAATGTAGTTAAGACTGCAACTTAAACGTCTCTATTGAAAAAGTACCTGGGTTCCTGCCATGCTTTTTAACTTCAACAGAGAAAGGAGCAACTGAAACAGTGAAGTCGCAGTCCTGCAACTAGTAAATTTTTGCAATTTTTAAACAAAAAAATTCTGAAGTGTATTAATTTGAATTATCTTTTCAGTAGTTCTCTGGAGGTTATTAGCCATGATCACAGCCAATTACCAGAGCAAGTTCAAAGGCTGAATTCCCTACTTTCATAGCCCTTTTTGTTAATAGCTGTACGATAGTAAAGAATTTGACTACAACTGAGTTGCATTTTGTCCAACGTTTAAAGTTTTTCACACATTAGGATATTCGCAAGAATACCAAATCAAAGGGAAACATCATTCACACTGTTGGTATCAAGGCAGTGTGATTGGTTGGCAAGTCAATTCCAATTTCGAGACAATACCATGGAGAATGGAGATTGCACCCATTAATGCTGATTGACAGTTTACTGCCAGGCTGCATTTAAATTTTAAACCAGGCAGGTTGACTCTGGTCAGGGCACTGCCTCAAATCTACATCGACTGTGAAGCAGAAATGATTGAGCACGCACGCATGTGTGTTTTTACTGATGTCAAGGACCAAGATCCTGTGTATTAACATGTAGCTTGCAGTACACGAAGATGTGCCTTGCTACGGGCCCAAATGATGATTCTAAATTAGTTGTCAGCATAATTCTTCACACACAGTTGTCCAACAGCAGGAGTGCATCCAATATAGAGCACTGCTATACATTTGGCAAGCATAGGCTAGGTGGGTACAGTCAATTTTGTTTGGTGAGAACAGCCAAAGCATGTTATTTAATACTATTCTGTTGGGTCTTGTGGCCTGCATGCAAAACTTAATTCCACACTTTGCAGAAGAAAGTCCAGGAGACACAACAGCAGCTGTCAAGGCCAATTTGTCAAAAACATTCTTGATATTTTCTAACCAACCTGTTAAGAAATGTTATTACACAACTCTAGAAGCAAGGGACATGAACCCAGATCTCCCAGCCCAGAGTAAGGGACACTCCCACTGTGACAAAAGCACTTTTCAAAGACAGAAATCACTTATTTCACAGCACAGAAACAGGCGCTTTGGCCCAGCCACTATTACTTCTTGTTTTACAAAAGTCTGTTCAACAATGTTATTAAACACCTCTGAGCCAGACTGTCTGGGTTCAAGTTCTACTATTTCAGAGCAAGGGACATTACCAATGCACCACAGACCTTTTCAAAGACATTGTTGGGCACTGCAGTTAAGCTTAGATAGCTGTATTTAGCTACTTTAGTTATGGCTAAAAGCATCAGATAGGGAAAATCTCAAGCATCTATGGAATTACCATGGGGCAGTTATATGTGCTTTTATTCGCAGTTAACATTTGTATTTCATGGAATCTCAGTCAGAACTCAAAGACATGATTGGCTTCATTGGGTACAAGTTAGCGGTTTTCTCAAAATGATTGCAGAGTTGCCTTGTTATTTAAAATTTAGATTGCACTAAGCTCAAATGATTAGTCCTTGCCACAAATTCTGTCCCTCACCACAGATATCACCTGAGATAGCTTTAACTTGTGAAAATGGCTAACTGCTTGCAAATGGTGTCCTGTTTCTCTCCAAGCTACACTTATTAATCCATAACCTCACCATCACTGTTTCAGCCATTGCCTCAGCTAAACTGGTGCCAAAGCTC